TGACCTAAAACTAGCAACCGTACCTGACAAAAGAATTTTGTAGATGTTCTTCAGAGTATTAAGACTGGGAGGTTATCCTGGATTGCCTGGGAGAGCCCAATATATTCACAAGGGTACTTGAAAAGGGGCTATAAGAAGAAACAGAGAAACACAGGGAGGAATGCAAAGTCCCTACCATCGTTGCTGGCATTGAGGATAGATAAAGGGAACTCAGAATGGTGACAAACTCCTGTAATCCTAGCACTCTCGAGATAGAGTCTGGAGGATCAGGAGTTCAAAGCCAGCCTCAGGTACATACTGAGTTTGAGGCCAACTTGGGCTAAAGAAGACCCTATCTCAAAAAGAAAAAAAAAGAAGGAAGGAATCATGAACCAAGGCATGAAGGATAAAGGCAGCATCTGTAGTGAGAGAAGCCAAGGAAATATATCTTTCCTTAGAGCATCCAGAAAGACTACAAACCTCCTTGCGGACCCCGACCTCCAGAACTGTGAGGTAACACTCTTACAGTAATATGTTACAGCAGCAATTGGAAACTAATACGTCAACAGCATGGGCAGAAAGGATGAGATCAATATACTCCTTGTCACCAGATGACCACAACTCAAATTCTATCTCAGTTGTCAATAAAAGTCCTCTCTAGGATTTGTTTTGATTCCTATTCACAAGTAAAAGGGAAGTCTAGAACTTTCTCAAATGTACTTTATTTAGACTTGGAGAAATGGCTCAGTGGTTAAGAGCACTGGCTGCTCCTGCAGAGGATCTGGGTTCAGTTCCCAGCACATATATGGCAGCAAACAACCTTCTCTAACTCCAGTTCCAGGGAATCCGAGGATGCCCTCTTCTGACCCCCACGAACATTGCACATGCATGGTGCACTTACATGTATGGATGCAAAACACTCATATAGATAAAATAAGAATAAATTGATCAAAACCGTTTTAAACTTACGTTATTTGTTTATTGCCAGCTCACTTCTCTCCTGGTTCTAGGGTTTCCCTCCCTCCATATAGGGGACCACTACTGACCTTGATGCTGTTTACACTCATTCTCAGGACCCACTTCCATTGCATTCTTGCTTCATACTTCTCAATTACTTCACCCAGAGCATGGCTCTGATCATCTCCCTTCATTTCTTGGGTGTTGCAGCCTAGAATAATAAGATAGTAACCAAGAAAATAATAAGTAATAAAAAAGAAAAGAATAATTAGTAGTGATAAAACATTGAAAAAGTTACAACATCTTAGGTTGGGTTTGAGGATTCTCACACATGGGATTTATGGGAGGTGAGCCCCGAGGACAGTGATATGGATTCCTTGCCTGAGACAGAGCCTTTCTTCACTCTTTGTGTGCTTAACTCCAGGGCTTAGGGGCCCAGAAACTCAATGGCTACCAAAGCCACCCTAACTAGCGGCTTCTGAGTTCACCATGTCAAGCCCAAGACCAATAAGGAAACACAGACAAGGAGTAAACAGAGCAAACAGATTTATTAAAGAAAAGTGAGAGAGAAAAAACTCTAGAGGAATACAGTCATCCTGCCCTATCTAGTGGTCTTTTGGGGGTTTATGGTGGGAACTGGATGGAAATTGAGGTAAACTTTATTGGGACTGGTCATTTCTGAGGGCAAGTCATTAAGAGTTCCCATTCCCTGTGCACCTCACCACAGCCAGGGAATTATTCCTATTTTCAGGGGAACATGCTTAGATTATGAGCTACCATGGGTGCTGACCTTACTGCTTAAGGGAAGAGATAGTTGTGTCTCAAGAGGAGTACAGTGAGTAAGCTAGAGCAGGGAAGGAGCTAAGAGAGTATTAGCTCTCACTGGGAGCTCAACTTCAGTCAGATGCCACAAGGAAGTCTGAAGTAAAAATTGCCCAAGAGGTTATACCTATGTGGAAAGCAAGGGTACCACTGTTATCAGTTCATCAATGGTCTTAGTCATTCAAGAAATGGAGCATATTTACCTCATGGAAAAGGAGATTCCCAATGTGCCAAGAACAACTTTCCAAAGAGACAGCTATGGGCTGTGACAGGCAACATTCACTGAAGCTGATCAGTGAGAGCACAGACCCTTAAAAGGAATCTGGGTGAGCACCAACATTATCTATTACCATGACATACAATAGTGCTCAAAGTTATTTCTTGATGAAGTACCATGGTCTCATCACTGATGGAAAGAGTTCATTTTATTCTCCATTTCCCCCTCTCCTTTCTAGTACACCAATAATGCTATCTTTGAGTTGTCTGTTTTCCCTAGAGTCAAAGGACCCAAGACATTTCTTTCTCCATTAAAGACATGACTAAATCTTTGCTTCAGTTCCAGGATTTTCCAAGATAATTGAGAGCCCTCATTCCCCTTTTAATCCAAGAAGCACATTGGAACACAACGACCAAACATTAGTTTGTATTTCTAATTTTGGTTTACATAAAAGGGGCAACATGCATATACAATGTCAGTGGTTCAATTCAAACTGAACCAAGTTCATAACCTGTGTTCAATTCCTTTTTTACTCATCAGAAACTAAGAAGCAGCAGTGAAGGAGTCTTTCTGAGAACCTTCAGAAGACACATAGCTCTATGGATGTTATGGTTTTCAACTTCTATAACTATGAGGGAATAAAATTTCTGGTATATTAAGTCATAGTTTATGGCAATTTATTACAACAACTCGAAGAAACTAGTGCATAGATTTTTCTTGATTTTTCCATCATCACTGAATTTTCAAAGATCTTATGTGTATCTGCTTGAATATTCATAAAACACCTATGAAAGCATAATCAAGGAACTGACAACACTAGTCGCCTTTGGGAATGGGAACAAGGTTCCTGAAGGATAAAGAAGGAATATTTTTCATCAAAAAATCATTAACCATGTGATATGCTATCTATTTTTAAAATAAATGAAATATAATTTTTGAAGGTCTTAGGCTCAAAGTCAACCTACCTAGAATTCTCCCTCTTCTCTCCAAAGATTGTCACCTGTATTAAATAGTGAATTACTTGAAGAAGGCTACTTTTGAAGAAAAGAGTTTTATTCTAGCCTATAGTTCTGGTTAAAGTTCAAGAGACAATATCTGACCATGACTTTCTACTGATAGAGTTCCAAAGTGTCACAGAACTTCATATGGCAAGAGACAGAGAACATAGGTGTGCCTTTCTCACCTCTTCTAATAAAATGACCAGGATTCAATCTGGGTGTGAGGGAATTAACTCGAATAATTTTATCTAACCCTAAACACTTTACAAAGGCCCCGCCTCTAAACACCATAGTCAGGTTAGGTTTCTAGCCTCTTACTACCTCATAATGGGGATGTCATTTAAAGACAGGAACTCCTGGGGAGGACATTAAGCCATATCCAAGCCACAGACATACTTTCTCTTTTTGTTTTTGTTGTTTTGTTTGAAACAGAATCTCAACACTGTAGTCCAAGACGTATTGGAACTCACCATGTAGCCTAGGCTTGGCAACTTACTAGTGACTACACCACTGAAGAAAATGTCTTCCCCTCCCCCAGTTCTTCCTAATTCAGTCTCTTGAGTGCTGGGATTACAGGTGTGAGCCAGTAATGTAATGCCCAGTCCATTCCGTTCTTTAAAACAAGAGATAAAGTTCTATTATGTATCTACTTCTTTTATGGAAGTTTCATGGTTTCTAGCCACTTTGCACATTTTTAAACCAAAAACCTGAGAGGACTAACTGTTCACTCTAATCAAGAAATATCTTTACTCATCTTTCAAGTTAGTGCTTGAGGATAAAAATGCTAATGAGGGAAAAAAATGCTGAAAGCTGAGATAATGTTCCTATCCACAATGCCCCTTAATTACTGACTTAAATGAGGATGCTTTGTCACCATATCCTCAGTAAAAGAAATACTTTATGAGCAGACAATTTACACAGATGATTTAAGAACAAACTAATCAGTTCGAAACTAAATCCAAAAGTTATGCATAGCTTATTATGTCATTGGAAGTTTTGGACAAAATGAGTCCAAGGGTCTTTAAACATCAAAGCCTCAGTGCAGAGGGACCGTAATGTAACCTGGATACTTTAGTGAAGTACCCCATAAGGAAATATAATATCAGTGATCAATGCTTTGGAACTATCAGGGACACTGTGTCTGCAAAACTAAAAATGGGAACTTGGTAGCTCATGCCTGAAACCCCAGCATTCAGGAGGCTCAGGAAGGAGGATCAAGAGTTCAAGGTCAACCTAGATTACTATTAGGGAACACTGTCCTTGCAGCATAACATGGCCACTATAGTCTTTTTCAAAACAATGGTGATGAGGTTATTTTGGGATCACTCAAGTCCCTATGACAGTTAATATTAGTAGTTAAGACTGATATAAAAATACTCATGTTTGTGTCTAGGGTGATAACTCAGTAGGTAGAGTAACTTTCTGTGCAAGCAGGAAGCCCTGAGTTTGGATTCCTAACACCTATGTGAAAGCCAGTGCATATCTGTAACCCAGCACCCAGAGGGTAGAGATTCGTGGATCCTGGAGCTAGTCCAGCTGAAACAGCAAACTTTGGGCTCAGTGAAAGACACTATCTCAAAAAGCAATGTGGAGAGTAACAGAGGAAGACACTCCTTGGTGTCCTCTGATCTCTACGAACACATGCACAGGCAAACACATGCATAATGCATGTACACACACACACACACACACACACACACACAACCAGCGTTTGTCCACAGTCAGCTATTAAGAAAACTCAGGGCTACTTGGCAAATTACAGCCAATGAAATCAATGTAGCTTATGAATTTATTGTTATTCAATAAATTATGACACTGTGGAAAGACATAATTGTGTCTATGTTTCTGTCATAGTGTGTTCAAGACATATCCCCTAACCCATGCTCCTGTAAGTAATCTGAATAATCACAGAGTTAAACAAGCTTGGCCTCAACACAATTGTTCCTTTGCTTTTGTTATCAGGATCTAGTTCTGCCCTCCCCTTAACTCCCTAGACCTTGTGATCTCCATCAAAAGAATTCAGGCATATACTTACCTGGCAGGGAACATAACATGATTATGAAGGTTTTCTCAGAGTGAGGTGCATCCATGGCATTCTGGGTGTGCTGATCCGTGAAAGTTCCTCAAATGTGGGAAACTCGGCCTCATAATTTGTAATAATGGCAGACTGTGTGCATGCTCTCCCCTAAAGAATTAAAACAAAATGAAAAAAAAATTCAGACAGAAACTCAGCATGGTGATGTCTATGATCCCATCACTGAGGAGGCAGAGGTAGAAGATCAGAAGTTCAAGATCAATGGGGGGGATACAAACTTTACTCGATAGGCCTTAACATATATGACAGAATGCATGATACCTTGTAGAGGAGGTATGGGGGTACCGACAGGTGTCTAAATATGGCCAAGACGTACCATATGAAATGCACAAAATTTCAAAAAAAACTTTTTAAAGAAGTTCAAGGACATCCTCAGCTACATAGTGAATTTGAGACTAGACTGAACTACATGAAACCCTGTCTCAAAAACAAACAAACAAAAACCTACAGAATTTAGACAGGAGACACAGAGCATTCATTATATATAAGTGTTACTGCATAACACTATGAAGCACTCTCAAAAGTGATAGTGGACAATAGCCGATGTAACCAACTGTACCCACTACCTACATTTATACTATTTCCTCAAGTCTTTGGAACAGTGTTATGTAGTTGTTTTCTCTGGCTAGGAGGCTCCTTAAGACTCAGGGAGCATACAAAACTCAAAAGTCAGTCTTCAGGAAACTCCTGAAACTTATAAGATTCAGAAGGCACCTCCCCAGGGTTATATAAGTAGCACAACTGCTGGAAAATGGAGACTCTCCAACTCCCTGGGATACCTGCACGATGTGCAGGGAGCTCCAAGGATGAAACTGGGGTGGGCTTTTTAGTAGTACAGCTGTCTTTGAGTCCTCCGCACTCCTGTAAGTAACCTTCATAAATATACTCAACTGCTAAACTAGATTTGAGTGAAATAATTTCTTTGGTCTGTCCTTGTTAGATAGGGGTTAACTCTGGGGGAGACTAACCAGCAGGTCTCCAAAACAGCAGGACTTGAGGAATAATAGTTGGTGGTTGTGGGTTCTAGCTATGTCAGCTCAAACTGGTTTCAGGTACTTCTTCACCATGGGAACATGTGCAAAGTGCTGTTACCCTCTCCTCTAGTGAACTTTTCAATTCTAAGGGTACTTAAACTCCTATACATGTTCTTTCATTTCATACATTTACTTAGACTCAGTGCTGGGTACAATGGCTTCTGAGAAAACAATGCCCCTTTCCTGAAAGTGCCCACCCTGCGTGAGTCACAGAATGGAAAACAGAAAATTCTCATGCCCACCACAATTGAAGTCATTACTACTTGGCCCAACCTGCTCTTTTTCTAAAGAGTATGTTCTTGTTTCTTTTCTTGCTCTAACTGAACTCTCCGACTCCTTGCTCTACTACTGTGTGCCATGTGAATTCTTCCCTTTTCACTATTTTATTGGCTTTTATTAATTATGCATAGTAATGTGTTTGTTTCATACATGCATGTAATATGTTCTGATCATATTCCATATTATTGTCTCTTGTTCCCCTCCCTCTCTTGCTGATCCCACACTCCTCTTCCCAACTTACCCTCCTACTTTCATTTATTTTTTCCAATGATCCAATGAGTTTGAGCAGGATTGCTTACTGGAGCATGGGTGACAGGTTCTTTACAGAGGCACGGACACCCTGCCAGTGGCTATGCCAATGAAGAAAATCTCTCTCCTTCCCCACCCCCCCATGAACCATCATTAACTGCCAATAGATCCTCAGAAATGAGTGGGGACTTGTGAGCCTCTCCCCACAAACAATTAACTGTCTATAAATCTTCAAGGAGCAGTGGGGTTTCGTAAGCCATTCCCTAATCTATACCAAATTATTAATGGACTAAATCTTGTGCAGACCTTGTGCAGGTAATCATGGCTGTTGTGTGTTCATGGTTTCAATGGCTATGGCACATCCAGAAGATAGCTTCCATAGCACTTCACCCACCCATCCTCCAGCTCTTACAGTATTTTCATCCCCTCTTCTGCAATGTTTCCTAAGCCTTGGAGCATATCATTCAGATGTCCTATTTAGGGCTGATCATTCAGTAGTCACTTTGATCAGGTAAGAGTCTCTGCAGTAACTGCTGCTTTTGCAAAACAAGCTTCTCTGACTAAAGCTACAAGTTGCATTAATCTATGAGCATAAACCAATTACTTAGAAGGTAGTCTGATGGGCACAACATATCTACTTAACAAAACAACAATAGTAGCTACCCTACCAGGGCATACAATTTTGCTAGCCAGGGGCTTTGGTGAGCGTCCCAGTACAAGATATGAATTCCTTCTCTTTCAGGAGCTGAAGAACTGAGACTGCTACTGAGGTCAAAACTAAAGAAAACAGCAGATCTCCCCATAATATTTGGTGTGATCACTCAGCTCTTGCTATGTGAGTTATGGCTCCTGTTACCCATCTATCTACAAAGTAGAGGGTCAGCCACAGTCTCCCCTATCTCTCAAGTCCTATAGGATGCTCTCTCAATTGTACTGCTTTCCTTCACACTCACTGTCTACCACTGACTCCTACCTGCTCAGCCTGCAGCTCTGCTTCTGTAAGGTGTTGTTACCCTTAATGTAAACCTGCCACCTCATGAGACCCTGTTTCCTTCCTTTCCCTACATCTTTCCCTGGATAAACCCTTTTTGACTTGTTCATGTCCTGGAAAGGCATCAGGAGCCCCTTGAGCTATTCCATTCTATTGATGGACTTGGCTGCCTAGATGGGACACAAGGCTTTACAAGATGGAATCCTGATGACCTTTATTCTCAAGTCTGTAGAATGCATCCTCTTCCCTTTTTACTAGGAACCTCACTTCAATTATGAAACCCCCAGCATGACCTCTGGACAATCTACAGGCCATTGGCAAGGACATAGCCTAACAGCTCCTCCTCCTTTGTAAGGAGACAGGGTATATTAGTTATTTCTCTGTTGCTGTGATAAAATATCATGACCAAGGCAGCTTATAGTAGGACAAGTTTATTGGGCTTACAGTTCCAAAAAGAAAAGAGCCCATCACAGCAGGGGAAACATGGCAAGAAGCAGCCAGAGCAGAGAAGTGATAGTTTACATCTTTAAGCAGGCACAGGAATCAGAGAGAGAAACTCTAGATGGGGCCAGGCTAAAGTCCAGCACCAGTGACGTGTTCCCTCCTGAAAGGCCACAACTCTTAAGCCTCCCAAAACAGTACCACCAACTGGGAACAAAGTGTTCAAACATTTGGAGACTATGGGGAAAATTCTCATTTAAACCATTATGCAAGATATAAGGGTCTTTGTCCCATTGTCTAGCCTTTTTAAGAGACCCATGCTGGCAGCAGGCCTCTGAGCTAAGACAAAATTTACATTCCTCTATGACCAGTCTCTCCTGGTTCCAGCACCTCATCTATTGTCAGATGACTAGTGGAGACCTAAGCTGACAGGACCCCCAGAATTCTCCAACACCAGAAAAAAAGGGACCATAATTTTCAAGGAAAAACGTCATGGGTCTAAGACTTATCTGGAATTGGAATGGCAAATGTCCTTGAAGAGAGCCCAGACAAGTCAAGAAGCAAATAAGGAATTTGGCAGGAGTGATTCTAGGAGACCAGCTGCCAGTGAATCACAAGGGAAGCTCTCCTAGTGGTGGCTGGAGGGTTTCCGATGACATCTCCCCTTAGGGGGCTCAACCACATACAATAGTTGTATACCTAAACCATGATATAAAGGGGACCAAGTATAGAGGAATGCCTCCCTTCGGTTTTGCCTATCCCACTGATTTCTTTTCCTCCCTTTGCAAATGGAAAATTAAGCCTCCATCTCTCTAGACACCTCTTTGGGCTACATCCTGAAGAACTGGGATAAGCATGTCCAAGACTTCTCTAAAAGAATCACATATTTTCTTTTGCAATACAGCTTGGCCTCAACATAATCTTGGAGATGGAGAAACATGACTTCTAAATGGCAGTTTAAATTCTAATACCATGTAACAATGGGATATGTTTTGCAGGAGGGAAAAGAAATGGAGTGAAGTTCCATACGTTCAAACCTTTTATGCCTTGAGGAACTAGCCTGATCTGTGGTATCTCAAATGTTGGTTTGACCCCTCACTGATGACTAGAAAGATCTATACAATCACCCTTGCCCTCCTTGTCCACGGAAAGGGAAGACTAGCCCACTGAGGAACCTTTGGCACCCTCTAAACCATCATTTGCCCACCTTTCTTGATCTTTTTGTCCTGGGGCTCCATTAATTGGCCCAGTCCAGGAAGTAGGAGGTAATTTTGGCCCAATGCAAGGATATGTCTCTGTTTCATTGCAAGATCTGAAACAGATAAAACAGGACCTAGGCAAATTTTCAGACAATCCTGATGAGTGCATAAAAGTATTCGTATATTTAACCCAGGCTTGTGACTTGATTTGGAGCACTACAATCATCATTCTAGGGCAGATCGTAACCAGATCTAAGGGACAGAGGACACTGAGGCTGCTCAATGGTTTGGGGATAACTTAGGTATTATAGACCCCAGGACCTACCCTGTTGAGCTCACAGCAGTTTCCTCCAAGGACACTGATCAGGATACCCAGTGAGGGGACTTTAGAGAGAGGGATCATTTCCTAGTTTGCCTGGTAGAAGAACTAGGAAGTAGACAGGCCAAGTCCCTCAATTATAATTGGCTACCATAGATCAGGGGACACAAAAGAATCCCACTGCCTTCCTTAAAAGATTAGAAGAGCTTCTTATAGAACATACTCCACTAATTCCTAGCAGTGTAGAAGAACAGATAATTTTTAAATATAAATCCATCACCTAGTCAGCTCCAGACATCCACTGGGAGCTCCAAAAGTCAGCCTTGGGTCTGAGGTTCCCCCTTGATTGACCACCTCCATTAATTACAATTGAGATCAAGAAGAGTAAATGAAGACCCACAGCAGTTAGTGTAAAAAGACCCCAAAGAAAAGTAGCCAGTTTCTTGGCTAAAAGTCAAAATGTCCTTGGGCCTCTTAGCAACATACTCCATTCCAAAGGCCAAAAATGTCGAAAGTATTTGGGAGCTCTTATCTAATCCTTAAAAGATTTTAGGGTTACCACTTTAGAGGGGGGAATGT